AATTTCCCTAGAATAAATATTAAGCTGACCAGCCTATAGCTTCCAGGATCTCCCTCTTGGTCCCTTTTAAAAATTGCTGTCCTGGTCTGAGCCTGATTTGAGGACAAATAACATATTTTTGCTAGAAGGTTAGGAATTTCAAATTTGAGTTAAGGTGTCATGGGATTAATTGTGATCCCTCTCTAGGTGATGTTATTGGAATTGTATAAAACTTGCATGATAAGTACAGGATCACATTTAATGCCATGTATAGTTTGGCCTTGAGTAAAAATATAGGAATTGTAGTTTTTTATTTGATATCATTTATATGCACATTACCAGCATCAGTCCTGAGACATATGCTGAGCTGAGAGAAAACGTCTGTTCCAAAGTCACCTAGTAACTTCCATGGCTGAGGGTGGAGTAGAACCTGGATCTTGCCACTCCTAGTTCAACATTTAAACTACTACACCACAATGGCTCTCTTCTAAAATAAACCTCTTTTGAACCAGAACTTGGAGGGTAGAAGGACATCCATGTTCAGGCCCCTCCTTATCCACCAAACTCACTAGGTGCCTTTGGACCAGTTGCTCTCATCCAACTTACCACGCTGAGTTGTTGTGGAAGCAAAACGAAGAGTCCCCCACCTAATCAATTATCTTTTTGTTCTTGGAGAAAAGATGAAAATCAGTTAATTAATTTTGTGTTTTGCTTCTCTTTCAGATTCTTCCCTTCCTGGAAAAGATTCTCTTTATGCCCATGATACCTGCAGGACAGTGCCTGCAACAGGGGTTTTCCTCACCTGTACCCATAACCATATAGCTAATTCTGGTGCTGCAACAAAAGTCTCTCTGCCCCAGACCAATAAGGTAGAGTCAGGGCCTGCCCTGAATTGCAACCCTGTGCATCCTCTTCTGCACATTAATACGCTGTATGAAGATCATGAGGAAGAGGGCTCAAACCTTATAGATGATTCTTTAGACAACAGAATTCACTCTCCAACAGAAACTGGAGATATCATTTCTATACCTTCCACAAAACAAATCATGTTGGCAACTTTTGATGAACCCTTGGCAATAGTGAATTCTGCAGAATTTTGATGAACAATCCAGAACTGCTGTTGAGCAAAGCTTGAACCTGATGGTCCACCTACAGTAGTATGAACCATGTTACCCCTCAAATGTCAACTACTGCATGAGCATGGAGTGCTGAAACACAGACCATACGGTTTGTAATACTCCAGATCGGTTATTCAGGGTAGTGTCTTGGCCAATGTTGATAGCTTGCAAATATGACAATAATAATAAGCCAATCAAATTATTCTATGCTTGGAAACACATGCAATAAAGCACAAGAGATATTAGCTGTAGCTTCAAGAAGTCACTTCGGATTACTACAACTGTCCAAATATTTGAAGTGCTTGAACGCATGTCACACAGTGTTTCTTAAAGCACTTACAGCCTTGAAATTCCAGCTTACCATGTAAAGTAGCAACAGACGTAAATGTGTAGGATACTTATTCTTCCATTTTAAAAAAGCAGGTGTAAAAATGTGGTTTGTCTCTCTAAGGTTTTTTTTTTTAAAAAAATGATAGTTTTTTAATGATGAAATTGTGGTTCACGGGTATTCATGGCTCCCTCCCATCCCCGACAGTAGCATAAAGAAGAAATCAAGAGCTGGACCCTAATCATTACTATGTTTCTATGTGCTAAGAGATGATGAAAATGAAGAGTTTATTTTTTTATTGCCTATTTTATTGTGAATGAGAGTTTTTGAATCAGATATTATCTTTCCAAAGTGTGGGAAGAGGGTTGCCTATAGCTGCATATTTTTGTCAATAGAGTGAGGTTTGTAAACCCAGGTTAAAACTTTCTAAGACAAAGCTTTACAGATGTGAAGAGTATTCAAATAGTGCTGCTAAAATGTTATGGATGAGTTAATTACTGCAATGATACAGATTTTAGATGGTAGTTACTCAAATCTTTTTTAGGACTTGCCTACACTACAGCATAACACAAGCCAAACAAACACTTTTGACACATCAAGCATGTGATGATTTTGTTTCAATGGTTGGTTCTTGGAATGCTGCTAAGGAAAAGAAGCCGGCACAAACATGCAGAAGCATGATGTTGAACAAACCAGAGCATAGGAAAAATGAATGAGATCAATGAAGTTCCTTCAGAAATCTGCCATCTTTTTTCACTTGGCTGTCCCACTGTCCCCAAACCAAGGTAGGGATGAAGCAGTGTGGAAGTTGCAAAGTTGAAGCCAAAGTACTGTTACCATGGCTGGTGAGCTCCATCCTCCAAAAAACATTTGGGGAAATTTCTCCTTCCACTTGAGAAATTCTGTCCATCGTAGAAGTTCAGGTGGCCAAATGTACAAGTTCTAGACAGGTTTTTCATGATACAGAACTTGAACTGGATGGTGAAGAGTTTGTATTAGAATAATTCTTTTTTTTTTTTTAAAAAAAA